CCAGCCTTCTGGTTAGCAGTCAAGTGCCTTAGGCACTATGCTACCAGAGCTCCTTGGGGCAAATTTAGGGGCCCTAATATATGGCCTAAATAGACTATCAAGCATAACCCAAAATGCACAAACAGCAGAAGAGAAACTAGATGAATAGGACTTCTAAAAATTAAAATTTTATGTGCTTCCAAAGACTTCTCCAAAAGAGTCAAATGAGAACCCACAGATTGGGAAAAAATATTAGGTAATGATGCATCTCACAAAGGACTTATCTCTAGAAGTTATAGAAAACTCAACACCTCAATAACAAAAAGACAACTAATCCAATTAAAAAGTGGGCAAAAGACATGAATAGACACTTCACCAAGGAGGATATTCAGGTGGCCAACAAACATAAGAAGAAATGCTCATGATCATTAGCCATTAAAGAGATGCATATCAAAACAATAATGAGATACCATCTGGCCCCAGCACTAGTAGCAAAGTTCAACAAGACAGAAAATAACAAATGCTGGAGATGATGTGGGAGAGATTGGGACTCTCCTATACTGCTGGTGGGGCTGTAAAATTGTACAACCACTATGGAAAGCAATATGGCAATTCCTTAAAAAGTTGGAATTAGAAATACCATTTGACCTAGCCATTCCATTACTAGGTATATATCCTAAAAAAGTGAGAGCCATGACAAGAACAGATATATGCACACCCATATTCATCGCAGCACTATTTACAATAGCCAAAAGATGGAAACAACCTAGGTGTCCATTAACTAAGGAATGGATAACCAAACTATGGTACATAAACACAATGGAATACTATGCAACCCTAAAGAATAACCTAGAATCTGCAAAACACCGCATAACGTGGATGAACTTGGAGAGGACATTATGCTGAGTGAAGTAAGTCAATCATAGAAGAACAAATATTGTATTAGTCTGTTATTGTAAAAGTCAAGGAAAGGTTTATATATGGAAGGAAATTTTCTTTGTTGGTTACCAGGGATGGGAGGGTACGGTAAGGAACATTGTTAGATAGGTAGAGATAAGTATTGATTTGGGTGAAGAGAAGGGCAACGTACCAAATGTGAGTGATCAACCTGGTGGCACTAAGGAAGAGGAAGATAGAGAGAGATATATGGAAGTGCAGACAACAAAGATAAACCCTTTGGGTACATACAGTACTGCACTGTCAGTGAAGGCAAACATGGGTATGGATGGACAGATGGTTGGACAGGCTGAACTATTAGGTATGTCTATGCGGGGAGAAGTGTACCCAAGACCATGTATAGGGTTGGCAGATAATGGTTCTATAAGTGTATTTGTATGTTCTGTAAGAATTCCCAGGTGTATAGGAGAGCTGACAAGGGACAAGGTTGTAGTCACTTCTTGGTCATAGACAGATACCCAGAGGGAGCGAGTAGTTCAAACTGTGGGCTTGAAACCATAGTTGCAGGGGACATCAAGCTCAATTGGCATAATATACTACACAAAACATCGTTCTACCTCCTACTTTGGCAAGCAGTGACTGGGATCTTAAAAGCTTGCAAGCAGAGTTCAAAATGGAGTCGAGCCAGTGAGTAGCACGCTTTATCCCTCTGGCATCTAAGGTCTGGGAAAACTAGTCACAACAGTTTGAATTAGGAATTTCAGTGCTCTGAACAGCTCACAGATTCAGAGTACATCAAACATGGAAGAGCAAAATTAGAGGAAAGGCACAGGGAGATTATTTAGGAAAGAGCTACTCGAGGAGGACAGATGGGCACCTGAGAGAGGCACTGGAAACTGTTCTGGAGCAGTCACTGTGTGCCAGGCTAGGGCGCCCGCCTGAGATCCCCTAGCCAAGAGGGAGGACACCTTATAACAGCTTACCAACAACCACTCTAATATTCCAGTGGGCAGCGGCAGAGACCTGCCTCCAGCAGCTGACCTTGATTTTTTGGAGGTAATTTGGGTCTCCTGGGTGCTGGCTGAGGGCACGGACACCTCCGCTGAGATTCGGAGGAAAACTTACTGTTGCGACAGGAAGGATA